ACATGTGATGTGGCTACTGCTTATCTGGGGACTGCACTTTCAAACTGGTTTAATATAATGAGCACAAAACTTAGCATAGAGTTGGAGTTTGATAAAAAATTTGAAAATATAACTGCTGCTTATTACTGTATTACTAAAGCTTTAAAAGCAACCCTCCAACTTTACATAAAGTTAAAATGTAGTCTTAATTTTCACAGTGTTTCTTTTGAGCTGAATTCTGCCTTTTTCTATACTCTTTGCTATCCAAAGCAGCTATTTACTATATCTGGTTACTACTGTTACCAGAAAGGGAACAGATGATTATACTAGAACCATAATCTTTGGTGCTGCTTTGTAATACTTCATCAGGATAGACTTTTCAAATAATCTTTTAGAAAAGTTTTAAAAGAAGTTAAAAATTTTTTTAGTCAAAAGAAAAATTTCTAAAGTATATATTTATAAATAACAAAGGGTTTGCCATTACCTAATCTAAAAGTTTTTCATAATTTAAGATCAGTCTGTGGTTATAATTTATTTTTAATTTAAGTGTCATTGATTTTTCAGCTAATTTCATCTCATTTCTTGCTAGGTTTATCATTGCTATAACTAACGTAAAATAATTAGCAGTCAGTACTCATATTTCTGTAAATGATAAACTATAATAAATTTCAAGACCAGTGATGAACCACATAAAAATCGATTTTTTAAGTTTTAAATAAGATTAAAGAATTTTGTGATGTAATTGTTTTTGTTTTGGATTTTTTTTTAATGGCTTTAGATTTTTGCACATTGAAAAAGAAAATTTTTTGCTTGAAGTTGGTTTGAGCTGGTTTGAAATTGATAAAACTAAAAAGCATACTGGCCCTCACTAGTTAGTAAATAAAGATATATATAACAAAAGCAGCCAGTATTTAAGCTTTTTGATTGATCTAGACAAAAATAATTTTTCTTTTTTTTTTTAATTTTTTTCCCTTTTTTCTTTCTCCCTAGAGCATTCAGCAGGAGACAAAAATAATTTTTCTAATGGTATTCATTTGGAACCTGTTTAGTCCTATGCAGTGGGACTGTTCTTTCTGTATTTTACTTAGAGAAAAAGTGGTTCTCACCCAGGTTGGCGCTCAGAGGATAGCCCTAGAGGTTGGAAAGAAATTTCATGGTCTGGACTTTGGAGACTTCCATGGAGTGAGAATAAAAAAAGGACCTCTTCTACCTATAGGTATCCTTTAAACATTGAAGCTTTTTTTTTCCCCAGTTACCTTTTTTGTCAACAGCCTTACAGATGGGTTTTTGTTCTGCATTGTTCAAGTGTACAAAAGTTTCATTTCTTTTAAATGATGGTAGGATATTACAGTTTTTCCTAAATTTGTTTGACTGTGGAACGCTTTTGTATACTCTTGTTAACACCAAGGGCACTGTTAAATATAGCACTATTTTAAAAATTCTAGTCTAGGTTAACAGACAGAATAAAAAGCCATTTGGAAGGGGCTGCTTGCTGATATGAAACTAAAGAATTTTTGCTACTTTGTGTTATCTTCCTGACTGAAATGCTAAAACATTTCTCAGATACTCAGGTGTAATAAATTGGATTCAAATTAGTTTACCTTCTGTTACTTTTTAAGCATGAGCTTTAAATAGATTTGATTTTGGTAGCCATCTTTTGGTTTTGTTTTGGCTAGAATAACTCACTAAAACTTGGTGACCAGTATATAGAACACTGCTCTCCAATTGAACTTTCTTCAATAATGGAAATGTTCCATATCCATGTTGTCCTATAGGACAGCCAGTAGCCACATGTGGTTGTTGAGCTTTAAAATATGCTAAGTGTGACTAAGGAAATTTAGTGGTTTTTTTTTTTTTTTAGGTCCTAATTAATTTAAATCTAAATAGGCATATGTGGCTGGTAGCTATTTTATTGGACAATGCAATTTGTAGAAAATATTTGTGGATAGGAATATTTTTCATGCTGTTTATTTTAAATTGATGGAATTAAAATTACTCTTGGAGGGATATATTTGGAAAGTTGAGATTATGATGACTATACTTAAATAATTTATATGTATTCTATAGTCATATGTTTGAGAGAACTCTTCCAGTCATTTTTCTCTTTTAAAAACTAGAGTCATTATCACTTAATGATGAGGATATGTTCTGAGAAATGCATCACTGGGCATTCACTGTGCGAACATCATAGGGTGTACTTACACAACCCTAGATGATATAGTCTACTACACACTGAGGCTATGTGGCCTAGCCCATTACTCTTAGGGTACAAAACTGTATAGCATGATACTGTACTGCAGACTGTAGGCAGTTGTAACATAATGGTATTAGTATATCTAAACATAGAAAAGGTACAGTAAAAATAGAATATATAAAGATAGAAAATGGTACAGCTGTTTAGGGCACGTACCATGGAATGGATTGTGCGGGACTGGAACTTATTTTGATTGGGTCAATGAGTGAGTGGTGAGTGAATGTGAAGGCTTAGTATATTACTGTAAGCTACTGTAGACTTTCTAAACACTGTGCATTTAGGTTACAATAAGTTTATAACACATATTTTTCTTTCTTCAATAATGTTAACCTCAGCTTGCAATAACATTTTTCCTTCATAAACTTAATTTTGTTTAGCTTTTTGATCCTTTCATAGTAACACTTAGCTTCAAACACAAACATATTGTACAACCATACCAAAGTATTCTTACTCTATCGGCTTTTATTATTTATTTATTTTTCTTTATTTTGTTTTTTAAGACTTTTTTTTAAAGCTAAGACAAACATACACATTAGCCTAGGCCTACACGAGATCAGGATCATCAAAACATCACTAGGTAATAGGAATTTTTTAGCTTCATTATAATTTTATGGGACCGCTATTATGTATGCCATCCTTCATTGACCAAAGCATTGTTATGTAGCATGTAACTATACATATACTACTAACTGGATTTCTTTTGTAGATAATTCTTTTGTGTAAATAATAATACGTTCTGAAATAATTGAATAGGTTTTCAAGTTCATTTTTAAGAAAAGAATAATAGGAAGAAAAAAGATAATCTTTGAGATAAGAGAACTCAGATTTAGTTCCTTTTGCTGTTGGCATGCTTGCCAGTATTGAAGCAATTGCAGAAGTTTTGTGACTATCATTTATCTGTAAGTTGGAGATACAGTATATTTAAATGTCCTTTGAAAAAGAGCTGTACAAAATGAACATAATTCACATTATAAATGTTGGTTTTTAGTAATTATGGAAAATGCTAAAAATTTGACTCGTTTCCTGTGAATATACTTTATGAAGATTATGATCCTTAATCTTTTTGTTTTTGGTAAGAGTAATGCTCAGTTGGTAGACAGGTAAAAACATTAAGTTATATAAATTCTCAGAATAAAAGTGACTAAACAATTGAATAATTTCAGAATAAATTTATTATTAAGGATACAATTATTCGGAGGGCTGAATTATTTTCAGAGTAGTTCATCTTATATAGGATAGAACATAGGTAATTCTAATGCCTAATAGTTTCATCTAAGCAACATATTTAATATATTGATACCTCTTATCCTTGAACTTGCTGATTAAATAAAATATTTTACTCTGTCAATTGACTAAACAACTTCATTTTACCAGTGAACTGTTCAAGCAGTTTATTTTGTATTCAGCTAGCATTCACTTGTTAGTGGTTTTATTTTTGAATATCATTGCTTTGAAGATGTGATTATTTAAAAGGTTTTCCATAAGCATTTTGAACTGTATAAAATAGAACTGATGACTTCTTCATAAGAACTTATATAGTCACAACTATGGCCTTAATATTAATGATTCTTTTTTCAGCTTGTAATGAAAAAGAATTTTTAAAGCTGTATATAGTTACTGTGATAATCATTGCCCTTTAAGTAGTGGTTTTTAACCCTTTCTAATTTATATTACACAAGAGTCTTCTCATATTTTAAAGATGATATTTTAATGTTGTTTAATTTTTTTTGTTTTGTTTTTTAAGATGAAGTTTTACTCTCGTTGCCCAGGTTGGAGTGCAGTGGCATGATCTCGGCTCACTGCAACCTCTGCCTCCTGGGTTCAAGTGATTCTCCTGTCTCAGCCTCCCAAGTAACTGGGATTACGGGTGCCTGCTGCCACGACTGGCTAATTTTTGTATTTTTAGTAGAGACAGGGTTTCAAAGTGTTGGTCAGGCTTGTCTTGAACTCCTGACCTCAGGTGATCCACCCGCTTCGGCCTCCCAAAGTGCTGGGATTACGAGCATGAGCCACTGTGCTCAGCCTATTGTTTAATTTTTTTTAATACAACTATTAAATGGTCTTACTACTATATGACATTATTTGGAATTTAGTGGTTTGTGTTACATTTGAGGATAGTCTATTCATGGCTAAATAACTGAAAATGATATTTTAGATAAAGATGATTCTCTTTTCTGACATTGTTTCAGATTTTTTAGAAGATGTATTACTTCATTTTATTTAGCTTATATTTACTATTTTAAATCTTTTTCACTTTTATAATAACTTGATGTTTTTTATGCAAAGATGCCTGATATTTTTCAAAAAGGATACTAATACTTTTCCCCAAGTACAGGAAAAGTACTACAGTCAGTCCTCCAGCGAAATATTTGAAATATAGGTCATTTTTTAATACTGCTGCTTTTGAGATACTTCTGTTCATTTTACCTCTGTTTATTGAATTTTGTTCAGCTATTCACTTTAGAAAGACCAATATACAAATCTTTATAATTCCCTTTGAATTTTATAAATAAGTTTTTAATGTTATTGATGTGAAGATATCAAATATTTTAAGAAAGATGACTCAGACATCTTTGAGCATATATAATTCAGAATATGGCAGAATATTTTAAACATTTCATGGGGTCATGAAACCCTTAGCATTTAAAGGATTTTAGTATAGCTCTCTAACTGGTATGTGCTAAGAATTTGAAATATGTTTCAGCTGCTTGAGATTAGGAAGTAGAGAGAAAATTTCTTATTTTTGTAATATATATTTTTTTTAAAGACACCTAGCTGTTGGGCAGAAGAGGGTGCAGAAAAGAGGTCACATCAGCGTTCTGCATCATGGGGGAGTGCTGATCAACTAAAAGAGGTAAGTTATTTCTGTTTTCAGTCGGTAAATTGTTTAGGTCCTAGTAGATTAGATTACGTTAGTATTTCATGAATGTAATGATACTTTAAAAATTTGTCCTAACCTTACCTCTTTTAGTAAGGTTAAGGCAAATTCTAGGCAGGTTTTCATAAAGTTAAGACAAATTCTAGATAGGTAGGTTGCATTCTACATTTTGGTGAACACGTCCAAATTTACATTATTTGGGTATTTTGCCTTTTGTAAATAATTGTTATGCACTCAGTCAGTTTTAGCCTTTCCAGAATGAAGTCTGAGTTTATGTAATACTCTCTATATCTTGTTCATTTTAGTTATCTTTCGTTCTCTCTTCAGTTTTTTTGTTTTTAAGTTGTAGCAACCAGAGCTATAGATTATAGCTTTGTACTATGGTAGGATAGTGTTTCCTGTTTCTAATAGCTTTTTAAATGATATCCAGCATATTGTCACCCTTTGGAACCCAACAATAGAGTGGAATCCATGTTTCTCAGAAATGTGGTTTCTATGACCGATTTACTTATTTATTAATAACCTGAAGTGTCATATCTGTATTTTGTATTATTGTTCCTGATACTTTTATCAATCTAAATTCTTATTTATTTGTATTTATAAATTACAGAAATTTAGAGTTGAAAGGTCATCTAGTCTATCTTCTAAATAAATGCTCCTTAAAAAGGTGGTCTTCCAATCTCTGTTTTTTTTTTTTGAGATGGAGTCTCACTCTGTCACCGCAGCTGGAGTACAGTGGCACAATCTTGGCCCACTGCAGCTTCCACCTCCCAGGTTCAAGCAATTCTCCTGCCTCAGCCTCTGTAGTAGCTGGGATTACAGATGTAATCTGCCCACCATGCCCAGCTAATTTTTGTATTTTCAGTAGAGATGGGGTTTCGCCATATTGGCCAGGTTAGTTTCGAATTCCTGACCTCAAGTGATCTGCCTACCTCGGCCTCCCACAGTGCTGGGATTATAGGCGTGAGCCACTGCACCAAGCCATGATCATTCTTAGTGAGGGAAACTCATTATTTTACAAAAGAACCAGTTAAATTATTTTAAGTTGTTAAATATCTTCTCTTATATATGGAACTTAGAATTAGATAACTTAGTTTTCACGTTGCCCTCTGGATCAATATTGAGTAAGTCCAAGTATTTTAAAGGCTAGCAATAAGTCATTTTTTTTCCTCCAGTGTAAACATCAACATTTGTCTCAAAATTTTTCTCATATACCAGTTTCCAGGCTTCTTTGTATAATTTTTATATGCTTATAGGTTATCAGTGTCCTTAATATACTGTGGTGTCTGGACTGCATAGATATAGTTTATTTAGCATGATTTACTTATGATTGTTTTACATTTTGAGCAGCTTCTTTATAGCATGGATGTAGAGAACTAATTAGCTCCTTCTGTCTACCATACATGTATGCAAAAAAATCAGTTTTTTCCAGCAGCAACAAAAAACAAACGAAGCTGAGTATAATATCTCTAGCTTACAATAACTACATATGTATGTATAGCATATGAATGACAAAAAAGTGAACTTGTAGTTTTATCTCAGAGTTAAATACAATCTTAGAGATATCACCAAGATTTACTCATCTTTAGGCTGAAAGTAAGTAATGCCAGATATTAACTTGAATCCTTAGGAAGAATTGAAGAGTGCTGGGAATAGTAAATATGTGGGTAAATAGAAGTTTTTAACACTGGTTTGTTGGATTTATAATTAAACTGTAACTGGATTACAGGAATATATGACATGCACTATTAAAAAGGAATAGTGATACACATTATTCAAAAGGAACAAAACTGTCAAAACAACTGTTGGAGGCTGGGCACAGTGGCTCACGCCTGTAATCCCAACACTTCGGGAGGCTGAGGCCAGCAGATCACAAGGTCAGGAGATTGAACCATTCTGGCTAACATGGTGAAACCCCATCTCTACTGAAATACAAAAAATTAGCTGGGCTTGGTGGCACGTGCCTTTATTCCCAGCTATTCAGGAGGCTGAGGGAGGGGAATTGCTTGAATATGGGAGACAGAGGTTGCAGTGAGCTGAGATCGTGCCACCACATTATAGCCTGGGGACAAAGCGAGACTCCATCTCAAAAATAAACAAACAAACAGAAAAAAACAACTGTTTGAGTACCTTACCTAACAAGCTGAGAAGTTTTATTCATGAAAAGTAATGAAATAGGGTAAGAAGAGCACAAATTCATGATCTGGTGCTACTACTTTTCCCCTTTTCCTTGTCCCCAGCTCTGTTGTGGCATTTCAATCAGGATGAAAATCAGCAGCTTTGCTTCCACTGTTGGAGAGAAATCAGTTGATGGAGAGCACTGTAGGTTAAAATAGTGATCTTTGTGGCAAATAAAGAGGGCCAACAAGTTTATTAGTCTAAGATTGTAGTCCAGTTTGGGGCCAACAGTAGACTCATTGACTAGTTGAATTTAGTAGAGACTTTTGAGAGGTAAGACAGTAGTGAGAGCTTGGTAAATTCCCCACATATTCCCAGGTTGACTGGAGGCTGTGGACATGCCCAGCAGAGAACAGAGTGAGCCCAAGCCACTGACTTGTTTCTGGCCAGTAGAGCTTAAGAATGGGTGTAGAGGAAATTCAAGTGGGCTACTGGAAATAAAGCCAGGAGAGACATGTAAAAAACCTGAACTTCAAATGCTCTCCTCTGTCCACAAACAAATTCTATCAGTAGGAAGTAGAAGCCTTATTGGGTTGGGATGTTTGAATAAAATGTACAATCAGTCTTTGGCCAAACACTATGGTGAACACTGGAGACGTGCTTTAAAAGGTCTTAAGAAGTCAGGCAAAAAATAATAGAGCCATAAGCAGTCACACATTGCAGGGGAAACAGACTTGTAGACTGTTAAGAAATAAGAAATAACAACTCTCAGGGGAGAAAATCAGAATCTGGAGTTGCTATAAAACATCTAAAATATCCAGCATTCAGCAAAAAGTTTTGAGATATACAAAGAAACAAAAAAGTATGGTACATAGGAAAATAACTCAGTCATTAGAAACTGTATGTATCTTTATGATGTATTTAGCAGACAAAGACATCAAAGCAGCTATTGTAAATATGTTCAAAGAAATAAAGGAAACCATGATTAAAGAATTAAAGTAGGACTACAAGGACTCAATGAATAAAGAGTTTTCACAAAGACAGTTATTCTTAAAAAGGAGGAAACAAAATTCTAGAGTTAAAAAGGGCAATAACTAAATATAAATATAAAAATGTGTTCGATTGGCTTGACTGTGGATTTGCAATGGCATAAGAATCACTGAATTTGAAGATAAGTCAATAGAATTTATGTACCCTGAAGAACAGAGAGGAAAAAAAGATTAAAGTTGAGAAAGCCTCAAAGGAGAGAAGACAGCAGAATTAATGAAAAAGAAAAAGAATTAAAGAAATACTGACAGAGAACTTTCCAAATTTGGTGAAAAACAATTTACAGATTGATGAAGCTCAACTAATCACAACTAGGAAAACACAAAGAGAGCCATAAGAAGAAGAAAATTAGTCACATACATAGGGGACCACTAATAACTTTAACCGCTGACTTTAAAATCAGAAGCAAGAAGAACCATAAGACCTGATGCATTCAAAGGGCTGAAAGAAAACAAATGAACCAAAACTGTCAACCACAAGTATTCTATATCCAGCAAAACTAGTCTTCTAAACTGGAGACAAAAAAAATGACATTCCAAGATAAAACTTGGGAGCTTTTCTCCCTGTCAGACTGTCTTATAAGAAATAATAAAGCAAATCTTTAGGCTGAAAGGAAGTAACACTGGATATTAAATTGCATCTCTAGGAAGAATTGAAGAGTGCTGGGAATAGTAAATATGTGGTAAATATAAAAGAGTTTTCAACATTGTTTTGTTGAATTGATAGCATATACGTAAAATATATATGATAATAGCACGAAGGAGGAGTGAGGAAAAGGACATATATTGAAGTATAGTTTCTATTTTACTGAAATTAAGCATTGTGATGTAGATTGTGATAAAGACACATTATAAACCCTAGAGCAGTTGCTAAGTTACTAAGATGATAACTCCAAAAATGTAAAAAAAGAAAAAACAGAGAAATTTTAAAGTATCGCAAAAGGCATACTAAAAATATCACAAAAGAAAGCAGGAAAGGTACAGGTAAACAAAAACAGCTGTGACACAAAAATAGAAGCCTACACTGTTCATCTCCTCCAACCCCCAGTGGAGCACCAAATTTTAACAACTATCTGCACAGAGAAAAACACCATCACAAGAACCAAGTATCAGATGAGCAATCACAGTACCTAGTTTTTAAGTTCATATCACCAAAAGAGGCATTGAGTAGGCCAGTTGCTGATGTTACCCCTCAATCTCCTGGCAACAATTGTGTGGAAAACGGAGAGAATATGTGCACTTTGAGAAAGAAGAGTACAGCAACTGGGGAACTTTACACTAAACTCAGTACTGCCCTATCACAGTGAAGAATAAAGCCAGCTGGCCTCAGCCATTGCCTTAGCATGGAGGGAGCATTTGGACCAGCCTTAGCCAGTGGGGAATCGCCCATTCCGGCAGTCAGAAGTTTTTATTGGCAAGCTTTAGGAGAGAGAGAGAGATAGACAGACAGATACCCCCTGTTTGTTGGTGAGAAAGTAAGGGAAAAGAACAAGAGTCTTTGTCTGGTATTCAAGAGAATTCTCACAGATCTTTTTTAAGGACCTCCAAGGTGGTAGGTATACCTCTACAAATCTGCAAAAAACACACTGTTTTTGGGCTTGGGGCCCAAGTCTCTTTGAACATGTAGAAAGCCTTCCCAAGAAGGACAGGCACAAAGAAGCCCAGACTGTGAGGACTACAATAAATACCTAACTCTTCAATGCCCAGACACCAAGGAACATCTACAATAATCAGCACCATTCAGGAAAACATGACCTCACCAAATGAACTAAATAAGCCACCAGGGACTAATCCTAGACAAACAGAGATATA